AAGCACAATGTGTCCCGTTATCATACATAACAATACATCCATATCATGCAATAATACACACAGCACACAGGCTGCTGGTCTTCTTATACTTGTTCTCTGAAATTAAAACTGTAAATTAATCCAAACTGGATGAATTATGCTTTATATCTCTTTCAAATTACGAGCCACTCGAGTTTTAAATAAACTCTGACCTACTTGGAGCTACCAGGTGTAACAGCTAGAAGAGCTAACAGTGCTAACAGAGCTAAAAGCTAGTAGAGCGAATAGAGCTAACAGGGTTAGCGGCTTACATCAGATATACTAATATTTGTTCTGAACTGATTTATTGATGAAAGTCGTGGTTACGTTTCAGTTACTTTTACAGTTTTTTCAAACAAAAAGCATCAAGTTTTTTGTTTTCATAGTTGTATATGTAAAATAATTTATACTACAAAGAAGTGAAGATGTGTTCCTCAGTAGAAACCAGTTACCCTTAATATAACTGAAGTAAAGAAATATTCTCACCTCTCTGCTGTGATACAGCTCTCTCCATCAGCAGCAGCAACAGGAGCAGCTTCATCTCTGCAGCCCAACTGGTCTCCAAAGGTCTCAGACTATTTCTAACTGGTCTCCAAAGGTCTCAGACTATTTCTAACTGGTCTCCAAAGGTCTCAGACTATTTCTAACTGGTCTCCAAAGGTCTCAGACTATTTCTAACTGGTCTCCAAAGGTCTCAGACTATTTCTAACTGGTCTCTGAAGGTCTCAGACTCTTTCTTACTGGTCTCCAAAGGTCTCAGACTATTTCTATCTGGTCTCCAAAGGTCTCAGACCCTTTCTAACTGGTCTCCAAAGGTCTCAGACCCTTTCTAACCTGTCTTAGCTGCATTATCCATCCAGAGAAGAGGAATGTGTTGCTGCAGAGTCTGCTGGCATGCCACAGTGACTCTCTCCCATTCATTCAGTTCAATGAGGGGGGAGTTGGGGGGTGGACCGTACCATTGCCTCCTGATTGGGGGGGGGGGTCCTAATCCTCTTCCAAGGATGAACTTTTTAAATGTCTCTGTGATTTAAATTTAAAATATCCAGTTTAGTGCTTCACCTGTTTACCCCGATCGATCTATCACTGATCATCGATCATTTGATGACTGAATAATCAATCAACAATTTACTGATCACCAATCATTCCGATCACTGAAGCCCAAAGACTAAAACGCAACAATGGAGTAAAAACAGTTCACATTGCCCTGATACTGTTTTTGACCCTGTTGG